TTCTGTGATCAATGTCCTTCTGTTGCTACCTCAAATGGTCTACAGTGGGAATATGTAAACTACAAAAACCAACAAACACCACAAATCAGTTTTCTCACCCACTGGCTTACCCAGATCTGATTGTTACAGGGCATTGAACCACGGGGAATAGATAATATTTAACCTTTGTCTGAAGTGTGAAAACAGCAATATCAAGACTTTGTTTCAAAACATGTTGACGCTCTTCTGAGTCATGTAGATATGAGACATGCTTTTCATTCACAAGAGTTTCCCATGATGGAATTGTCCCTACCTGAATTCACTCATCAAAGCACCCTATGGAAAAGCAAAGATCTTTTCCATTGATTGACTTCAATTGAGGTTATTGGTCATTGGATATGCAACCCTTGGGCTGCATCTGCTAATATAAAGGAGGTTTTTGAGCCAATTAACTAGACAATTCAAGCAAAATTAAATATTTCAGCCTCTTACATCTGGAAAAATATAAAAACCAAAATGGTGCAGTGGGTGCACAGGGCATGACAGAGGCTTTTGGAGTGGCTCTGGACTCCTCTGTGTCTTGCTGATATTGAAATTCCCATGCAGATCTTACTTGAGGTGATCAAGGTAGGTGACTTCAAATCTCTATTTTATATTTCTGCAAATTCAAGCAATGATAACTTTCAAATGATATTGAGTATTTCAAGCACACGGAACACAATTAGAATGTTTGGTCTTAAGAAATACTTATTATAAAAAGTTTCTTTTATTTTTTATATAGTAGAGAATATGAAGGAATATAAAAAGTTTCTTTTATTTCTTATATAGTAGAGAATATGAAGTAATATAAAAAGTTTCTTTTATTTTTTATATAGTAGAGAATATGAAGGAATAATGGTAGTGGTTTTCCAACCACTGAGTAGAGGTGAATCCTAGTGATTTAAGTTAGTGACATTTCTGATTATTTTTGGAATTGTGTGTTCTTAAGTTTTTAATACATGAAACTAATGTCGGTTTTATGATGTTTTGATTAAAGTCCTGCCACGTTTGTTGTTTAAGTGTATTTCTGCTGTCATTATTAAATTTCCTAACCACAGTGTGTCAGTGACATTTCAAAAATTTATTTAGATTGTAACATGTTAAAATCAGAGGACCATCAAATACTTCATATGCATTTCTTTTAAGAATGTGGGAAATCTCTTTTCTAATAATTTATTTTTTCCTTTTTTTTTAAAACAACTCACTTTAGCTTTTTTTTCTGCAGTAGTATCATTTTAACCCCTAAAGTGCATTTTCACAAGATATCTAATCTTTTTTGCAAGTAACATTTTGAATTTGTTCTTCTTGACATCTTTATGTTTATATGCATTTTGTATCGCCCTATTTCATTTTTTTGAAATCCAAATGTAACAGGTTTCAACTTTTTTTGTTACATTCTTTTTTTCTTTTTTTTTTCTTTTACTGGGTATAGCATCTCTCTCTTTTCCGAATTTTTTGCAAACCTGTTGTTTTTGAATTCTCTTTTTTCCCTTTATTTTCCCTCTCGATATGACCCAGGAGGCAACACAAAGAAAAACGCAGATGATATAACCAGTAATGACCGTGGTGAAGATGAAGGTATTTTTTGTTTTTTCAACGCTCAACCCTGATGCATGAGTTTATATCTATCTATCTCTCTATTTTTTTTATTTCAATCTGTTTTTCTTCCCCTTATTTAAAACTAGTGCACTTCTGTGTGCTTCTTTATTTTCTTCTTGTATGAAAACCACTGTCATTTTTATCCCAGTTTCCATGTAAAAGACTGCAAATCACTGTCAGAAGAAATATAAACATTGTTTCTAGACCCAAAATGACTAACAAAAATACTATTTACAAGGAAGCCCACCTTTTTTTTTTTTCTTTTTTCTTTTCATTTTTTTGGCTTGGTCACAAGAAGAGAAGATGGAATTTTAAAACATGCATGTATAGTTTCTTTTCTTCTTTCCAGATGTTATTTTGTAAGTTAAGATTACATTTTTGGAGCTTTGCTCTTATTAATTCTTTTTATAAACTGCAAAACTCTGCCCCACCTCAGTAGAACTTTTGGGGGTGGGGGGGGGGTGCTGGAATTTCAGTTTTGTTTTTTTCTTTGTAAACTATATTGATTCCAAAATAGGTTTCTAAGAAGCTGCTCACAGTGAAGTACATAAAAAGGTGTTTTAAGGAGATTTTGACAAGATGTTTCTTTCAGGACAGCCTTTTAGTAGCATGTAGAGAAAAAAAGAGAGGTATTTCAGAATTGAAAAAGGACAGAAAGCTAGCTATGTGCATCTTTCTTTTCACACCAGAGCTATTTTGAAAACACATTTTTCTCCCCAAAATGTTTTGTTGCTATGAAAACTTTCTCTGTAAGGCTCCCAAATTGCTCAATACATTATCCACCAGAAGTGAAATGTGTTCTTTTTTTTTTTTTTAAGATGGAAGGGAGAAGGCACCCAAGCAGACAGCTGACTAGCACACTCTATTCTGCCCCTTCAGTAGAATAAATGCTTTAAAAATCGAGAGAAACAAACCAATAAATAGTACTAAAATAAGCGTGCACTTGTTGAGAAGGGTCTGTAGCATGGGTAAAAGCACATTTTCCCCATCTGTATAGCAAAATGCATGGAAGTCCATTTATTTTCCTTAAAGGATAAGGCCCCTGACAAAGCTCAGAGTCTCTGGCCCAAAGGGAGTGGAGAGTTATCTTAGCCGCTCAAGCTCAACTTCCTCTAAAGAGCCTTTTTTTTTTGTTTTTTACCAATTGCATGCTGTTTTTGCCCCATTTTTGCTTTCTTTCATTAATCATCTCTCCAGGAAAAGAAGTCTGGCCAACATTGCTTCCAACCTTGGTCTTCTGTTAACATTATTACTATTATTATGATTATTATTTTTTATGGGGCTCCAAGTTCATAGGGCTGTCATTGCCTCAAATAGCTGTCCAGAAGAGATCTCTCCCAATGGCATTTAAATATCAAAATCTACGCCTGCCTCAGGTAGCCTTTCCTTTGATGAGGGCTTCAGAACATCTGACATTTTTTTGTTCAGCGTCCAAAAATAAAATAAAGTAAACGTTTCTTCTCTTAGTACTCTCATCCGTTCTGGTGATACAATCTGCATCATGCCCAGATCTCTCTTTCTCAGACATTTCCTTTCGATCACTGGGATCGGTTTTCATGATCCTCACCATGAAACTTTAGTACCTTTAGGATGCCATCTAATTTTCACTAAATCTAATAAACTGTGATTTTTTTAAAACTTCGAATCGATACGGCATCTGGTTATTACTTGGACAAATTCAAGACTAAGTACTTCTGTGTTTCATGAAAGGTAAGAGATGTTAATGTAACGTATTCTGAGAGAACATCATGGAGCAGGACTTCAAAATCTCCACTGATTCCCTTAATCCACATTTTAGTAGCCAGCAGTCAGTAATGGCAAAATAAATGACAGCAAAAATAGCATCTCAGGAAAAGAAAGAGTTCATCATGGGAAAATTGTGCATAGTCTATGATGAATAAATGATTAATAGGGGATTTTTACTTTATATTTAAATTTCATATGAGAAAATAAAAGACATTCTTCTGCCCTGGATTAAATTTCTGCAAGTACTTGAGAAACAGGACACTTTCTTTCTGTACTTCACTGTGACCAGAGATTTTCTCATGTCTTGTGTACACACCCAGTAAAATTGTGATCATAATTCATCCTAGTTGGAGCCATCGTCCATGTGAATGGTAGTTCATTTCCTCAACATTCCTTTCTGATGTCTCAAAAGTGTCCCCATCAATGAGGAAAGAATAAAACTTTATTGAAGAAAAAAATAAAAATAAATGTGCATAGGTGCATGTTTTTAAAGTAACATACAGATATTTCAAAGATTTATACACACATGCAACACACACAGAAATATTTATAGGTGAGGTCAGTCTTCCCCAGAATTAAATGTAGGCCCAATGGCTGATTAATATTAAAAGGTTATTTAATCATAAATTTTTCAGGAAGCAGGCTGTACAGACACTCTCCAAATTTCTCTCATCATAGATCATTGTTTTAACATCATTGCTAATTAAAATAATAAAGTAATTACTCGGAGTACTCATTGGTGGCAAATCACAATGGCAGTTTATGTCCCTGTGAAAATATAAAGTATTTATATAATTTCATCTTGAGTTTGGATTGTTTTACCATTTTTTATTACACTCTTTCATTTTCATCACTTTAATATGTGGGTTTATTACTGCACTCAGCAGAGCTAAGATGCCTTGCTTGGGCATCTTTGTTTCCCCATTTCTGTTCCATTAATAATTTTTAACCATTTATTTATTTTTTTGTTGTTGTCTGTCCTGTCTATAATTTCACTACTTCTTTGATGTTTTTATTGTCAAATTAAAGATAACTCTATACATTCGTTGTACAGTGAATTAAGATGGCAGTGATAGGGGGGAAATGGGCATTTATTGAAACCTTAAAATCTGTATCCCCATAATATGTTGAAATAAGAAAATATATATATATAAATAAAAAATAAAACAATAAAACAAAAAACAAACAAAAAAAGATGGCAGTGATATTAAAACTAATTATAATTTTGAAGTTGACCTTACATTTAATTAGATGATAAACTACATTTTATCAAGGATGCCATGTGCTTCTTCCATTTAAATCACATTTTAGGGCTTGAGGGAAATTCAGGGAATATACACTTTATTTTAAAACTTTTCTATTAGTGCTTTAGTTATACACAGACGCTTACACTAGCATATGACTCCAAATGTCCCTGTGCTTCTCAAAATGTCATTTCTAGGAATAGAAAATAAAATAGCATTGGCAGTATTCCTTAGGCACCCTTATAAAGGCTACACCAGTCACAAAAATCAAGGTGATTAATTCAAGTCAAAAGTAGGAAAATTAATGAATCTCCCTTGGTCTTTCTTTAGCATCCGTGAGTCAGTGTGATTTTTTTTTTTTTATTGTATTTCCTTACTTGGCTTTTTTTCCAGATATCCATGATCAGAACAGCAAGAAGCCGGTGATGGTCTATATTCATGGTGGATCTTACATGGAAGGCACTGGAAACATGATCGATGGGAGCATTTTGGCGAGCTACGGGAACGTCATTGTGATCACCATTAACTATCGTCTGGGCATCTTAGGTAAGTGATTTCCTCACGAGAGAGAAATGCCGGAGCAGGAGCCCATGAGGAAGGTCTGCTTTTTTATTTTCACAGGGCTCATGGATTTTAGGCACGTTGCTCCAATTCCTGCATAATTGTGGTTTGCACTGCTCAGACTTTGTGTGATCAGATGGATGCCTTCCTTCCTTTTACTGTGTCCATGCAGCATTCTTATTTTGTGGTTTGGTTTATTTACTTTTTAGCTTGCAGTTGTTAATCCAACAATTTCATTTTGTTGGGAGGGACCTGAATTCCTCCTCAAACCAACACAGTTGTCAAGATCATCAGGATAAGATGAAATTTTATTTAAAGCATGATTCTTCCTTGGAGCTCAATGAATGCATGTTCATCCACGTAGACCTGTATGATGAACACATGATTTGGTGGCAGTATAGTTGATAACAGCCATGGATATTAGCTTCCTTTTCTGGTTGTACAGTTGTATGAATCAGTGTTTTGTGTGTGGGACAATATTTTATCCGACTTCCTGATTATGTGCCCACGTGGGGCCTTGGAGATCTTCTGTGTTGTTGGTTCCGTTGAATATGCATGCAAGGAGACAACACTTGTTGGATTTTTGTTCCATTTTATTATTTATGATTAAAAGGCATGGGTTGAGGATGGGGCAATGGGGCAATTCAAGCTTAGCTCTACTTTGTTTAGGTGTGTCATTCCTTTTCCTCTGAGTGTGGGCTGGAAAATTAGACATTTTGGGGGTAAGATTTCAAGATTTACCTTCCTAGGTAGTTTTGCCTGCTGTTGCCCAGTTTGTAATGCTCCTAGACCTATGTGAACACATTTGTTTTCAAGGCAAAAATGCATTAAAAAGGGTGCAGAAAATGAAGTTTTTAACAAGGTAGCCACGAGAGATGCGTGTGTTGGTTGCAGTGTGGTTATGGTACAACGCAAGATATAAGCTGAAATGGACTCATGGAGTTTTGTCAAACAAGAAATAAAACTGAAGATGCTTTCTTCAAATAGGTAAATATTACCAAGACTATTTTATGTTTCAATGAGATGTTTTAATTTCATTCTGAGTGTTTCTTTCTCATTCCTAAGTGAAAACTTTAACCTATAAGAGACCCCAGGAAGTGGTGGAGTTGAGACATGCATTCCTAGCTTAGACATGAAAATCACCTACAGGTGTCCCTAAAGTTATGCTTTTGTGAGCCTTGATAAAGAACTCAACATTCCAGGTTGGTTTTTGCACTACAGAAACAAACAAACAAACAAACAAACAAACAAAAAAAACGACAACGAGAACAACAACAAAAATACCCCTTAGTGTCATGGATCTTATTATTTCATGGCTTCATGTCATTTTGTTTTTTTGTAGTTTTCTATGTGCCAGATTTCGTGGAATAATTTTCATGCAATTTTGCAGAAAGTTGATTGCATGTTTCTCTGAATGTTTTTGTGGCTAGTGGCTTTGGCTACTCCTCTTGGAAACAGGAAATTTTACTTCTTGATGTTTTACAAAAGGTCCATTCTACCAAAGAGGTGGAAGGAGGAATCTCCCCAAGAGGGCCCTGCATGGTGCCTCTTCCAAGGGAGCACTGTGTGGGCCGCACACAGTGTGGCTACGTGGGGCAAAGGTTTGGGCACTCTCTTCTGAAGGCATTAGTGAGCACTGAGCACGTTCTGGCTGTGGTGGAATCACAAAACGTTCTGTTGCAAGCAGGATGGGTTCATATTAGTGATAAGATTGGGTTCCAAAAGAAATTGATTTCCCTTTCCCTCTAAAGCAGCCAAATTGCATCAAGCAACTCTACACTGTGTTATCTTATCGGGGTTGCCCCTTCCTGAAGCAAGTGCAGATCTCTCAAAAGTAGTGGGGGAATTCATATGCATATATATTTTAAGAAAAGAGGAAAAAACAAAACTTAAAATGCTAAGTCTACCTTTTGCTTCCAAGAGTTAAAAAAAAAATCATGATAAGATAACAGAGAACTGTAAAAGGGCTGGAGAGGAAATACAAGCAGCTATTTAGCATCTCTGTGCCGGCCTATTTACATTCCACTAAGGAGCCACTGTGGACCAGCAAAGCATCACAGCCCCTCTTTATGTGATGGAGTGAAAGGGGCCAGCATTGCGGAGTATATATACATGGAGGCCACTGAGACTTTAAAACGTGACGTCCTTCATCTTCAATGGTAGATCTTGCATTTATCGTCATCCTCTTGAGAAAGGTCACGCAGCATTTACTTTTTACTTGTGGGGAAACTGCTATTATTGGTCTTGAAAAAATATTTTTAAACCCTCGACAGCCAGATATTTAAAAAGTTGATTAAAAAAAATCAACTAGAAGCAATTAAAAAAATCGAGCTGCATGCACTGAAGTGAGGATTTTGGTGAGTGCTTTTTATATGAATAGATAGTTTTTTTTCAGGGAAGATTTGAAATAATCCTTGAGGTTTTTTGTTTTTTTCCTTCCAGTAAAAATAGTAAATACATGAATGCTATTCTCCTACCTAAGGAATAGAAAAAACATTGTTTCAGATTTTTGTTTAGTGGCATAACAAATGCTGTTTTCTTACGCAAAAAGACGGTTAAAAAAGATGAAATATGCTAAAAACGGAACAGCGATGCTGGCGTTGTGAAGCACATAGATTGTAGAGTGAAACAGACATTAGCTGGGATCTTCCTTCTACCTCCATTTGTGATGTGTTCTGGCATTGAAACAGTCACCTGACTTTTCTTGAGTCTGTTTCTTTAGCTGTAGAAGGTCGTGACAGTTTCTCTCTTGCAAGGTGTTTGTACAGTATAGGTGTACATTTTCTCTCGTACAAGGTGTTTGTACATTGCTTCAAGGGTTCAAACCATGACACTGTATGTACCCCATAACTATATAACATACACAGTTCTTTGTCAATTAAACATAAAATTTTTAGAAATTGTAAAGTATCAATGCATTCATGTAGGTGAAGTTTCATAGCCTGTGAGTGCCCACCAGTATACCCACTCAAACACTATGATTTCTATCTTTATTAATAATCACTGGACATCATATGAATACCTCTGTTGTTCCACAGTAAGAATTGCAACTGGCCCAATTTGTAATGGCTAATATCTATCAAATCTTGGCATCCAAACTGAGTCACCTTAATTAAAATAAATCATTATAAGACACTCCTACACATTAAACAGAGCGTCATCATCCTTGCTTTTTGAAGTATGAAGTGGGTTTTTTTTTGTTGGTTGGTTTAAATTAGAACTGTGCAGACTAATCTTGCCAGCCATTGACAATATAATTTATGATCCAATCCAGGGCATGTTTGACAGTCGTTAATATGTGATGAATAAACTGAGATTGTCCCAGGCAAATTGGGTTGTATCATCATAGCTCTAAAGTAATTATTTATACCTACTTGAGGCATTCTATCATTGAATATGATTGAATGGGTGTTTATTTTTAAAGAAGCTACTCTTCTATAAACTTCTATAAACATATTATTTATTCTAGCGTACACTTTTGTCATTAGGAAGGCGCACATATCTGTGACTTTAGGAAACCTGAAGTTCACCAGGGCCCCCCAAGTTAGCCATTGTTGGGGTGCATGGTGTTCCTACCTACTAAAGAGAAACCAGCCAAACCCCAGCCACTCTAAACACCTGCTCCCTCTCATCCATTCACCTCAAAACATGGATAAGCATCCTTTACTCCTAAGAAAATCAGACAGTCATCTAGGCAATACACTTTCAAAACAATCCCATCAAGGGGGAAGCACAGAGGTCAAATTGTGAATTTCCCCACAAGGTCATTACAGGGTGAATCCTCTCCTCTCTGTCTTAGCCCCTTCCTTTAGGATAACTTGAGTGCTAGCTATTAAATCTGCTGTTTTCTTTTGTTCTTCTTAGTTCATGATAGCCCAGAGACCTTTCATATAAAGGAGAATGCACTTTACTGATGCTTCCTACTGGAAACACCTGGAATTTATTTATTGACGGCTTTTTCTTCCTCCATCCCATGCCCAAATTGGCATGCCTTCCTATCTTCAGTCGGTTTAGTCTACCTCTGTTCAAATATTCATTTCAGTTTAGCTCCCCTGAGATTATTACCTTTTCGGTCATTCTACCATTTGATGTCTCAGGTATGCTGAGATGTATGGTTGCTTCACAATAGCCCCTTACTCTACCCTTTGGCATCAATTCATTGAACACCTGCTACATGGCACGCAGTGGGTTGCTGTAGAGGTTCCTTCACTTAATCCCTATAAACTCCCTTGCAGATGTGAATCTTATTTTGCCTAGGAGGAAATGAAGGTTTGGAGGTGACTCTCGGTATTGCAGCTGGGAGTGATCAGAGCTGGGACGGGAGCCCAGAGCTAAGTGAGGCCAGAGCTGTGGTTCTTATCACAAGCACCTCGCCTTCATTCAGCCTTGCCAGTCAGTGTCGAGTTTGAATTCATAAACTGCGGAGTGCGTTAGGAGACTGGTTATCACTTTAGCTTCAGATTCAGTTTGACTTTTTTAAAGGATTACCGAAGATACCTCTGGAACACCTGCTAATGTTTCAGATACCGTAGCTATCTTGAAAGTTTTTGTCTCGGGGAAGGTTATGCCGTGGCCTTCTGAGGTTGTCTTTCTGTATAAGGTCATAAATTGCATAAACCCATTAGGTGCTTTAGAATCATAACTTTGAATACAAGACATGAATGGTTTGAGATACAGGCAGTCAGCATGCATAGCAGAAACAGCATTTGAAAGATCAATTCAGATGGCTTAAGCTATATGCATTCTCGGCGCCCTACCTGAGGGTGTGGTCATCTTCCCTGTTCTGATTGCCTTTGCTGGGTCTTGGATTTCCTCTGAAATTGAGGGTGGGTGGGCTGGGCTTTGAGGGAGCCCTATGCCATCAGCTAGAGCAATCTCACCTTTGCACGTTTGATATATTGGTCATCCGCCTAAGATTCAATAAAAGGAGACTGGACATTGTGGGAAGAGAGGACAAATAAGTTCCTCCTAAGATTTCTGTTCTG